CCTGGAACGAATCTTGTTCTCTCGAAGGAGGTGGCCGCTGATCGGGGTTCTAGTGGGAGTGTTTAGATTGATAATCCGATGCTGGGGCGAAGGCCAACCGTGTCGTTCTGCTTCAGATGAGTTAGATCGGATCTGCTGCTACTCGATTGGCCGGGCTGAGTCTAGCTGTTCTTGGATTGCGGTCTGTGCACTTGAGAGGACGTCGAGGCGGGTGCCCGTACGTCTGAACTGATCGTCTTGTTGACCGAAACGCCTCATAAGCATACTTAGTACTCCCGTAAAGTTAAATTGTTCGTTAGTAACGAGCACGGGCTCGTTATGTGACAGGTCGGACGCTGCTACCCTTCTTTCCTCGTTGGCGATCACTGGAGGACTGATCGTGTCCATCGTGATCGCGGCGACAGGGGTCGCTTGAATTGTTTCGGTGGATTGCGGGATGATTGTTTTGCTGATTTGCCGACTGGTTGATGCGTCTCGGCTCATTTTTCCTTGCGTTTAGAAAATCTCCAAGCTTCCTACCTGGCGCGCCAATTGTTTAACCCAGAAGGACTCAACAATGAATTTGTAGTAGACAGAAGGTCGGAGAATTTCGTGTATTAAAGTTTGAGCCCGAAATAAATGTTACAAAGTAGACTGCAGCTGATAGTCTAGACATATCCCGGGCTATCAGATTGCTATAGATCAGAAAGAGTGTAGTATGCTGGACAGATCCCGGGCTACTCGGTTCGTTGGGAGGTAATGAAGGTATGTAAACGTTTTCGGTGCTTTCCGGTCGGTGGTGACCTCCCGGCGAGCTCTCTGTCGGAGTTAGAGACCTGAACGGTAATGCTCTGGGTCCCTTGTACTCTTTTCAGAAGAATGGAAGATGAATGGTCACATCAAGTTGTACTCCTATTGATAGTACAAGGTTGAAGATACATCATAGGTTTTATTAACTGTAGTTACCGAATTTGACTCACGTTTAACCAGACCGCGGTTACTGTTTGAGTTGGGCTTTACTGTTTGCAGACTGCAAATTGTTTAGACCGCATAATCTAATGGGCCGCAGGTCTAGGCCCAACAGTTATAAAATATTAATGTTACCGTAGGGGTTATTATATATTTTTGAACTTTATTTCCATTTTTCATAATTTAACTATAAAGCTATAACAACTATTAAACACATATTAATAATCCAAAGCAAATAAAGAAAAATATTTTTATAAAGAAAAGCAAATAAAGACAATAGAATACATATAGAAACCTCTTTGAGGTTGTAAGGACATCCATGCCTGTGGACTATACAACCTAACTCAAGTATGCATACTCCTTAAAGTGCCAAATATCATCCATGTTCCACATTGGATCTTGTGTCACATCTTCCTCGTAAGTCGAATCTGCCATGTAGCAATCTTGCATTTGTAAAATGCCTGAATTGCCCATGGTGGCAACCATGTAGTCCCCCTCTAGGCAAGGGAAAGAGCTATAGTCTTCACTCACACATTGACTACTTCTCCCTTGTGATCCATCAAAGTATAGTGAACTTGTGGTTTCAAGATCAGACAAATCCATGAATTGTGAAATTTTGTGGAGATCTTGAGACATGGATATGGATGTTGAACAATCAATGTTGTTGAAACCCGATTCGTGAGTGAAACCCTTGTCTTGTAAAATAGGTCCAAGTGAATCAGGAGGAGAAGCTTTAGTGTTGGTGTATGTGTTATCTTTCATCTTGTGGATCAATCTTGGAACCCATAAGCTACGGACAGCTTCCACGAATTTGTGGCTGTTGGAATCGATGTTGAGCTGCCGTGCTTGTTTCTGAACTCTAGTTCTCCAGTAGTTTTTGATCTCGTTGTCTGTTCTTCCGGGTAAGTACTGCGCAATTTTGGACCACCTAACAATCATGCGTTACATGTTAGATTATAGAAAACTATGCTAAAGAC